AATACTTAGCCTTTCTGAACCTCTGTTTCCTCACATAATAAATGGAAATAGTAGCACAGATGTCTGGATATGTTGTTAGAATTACATGAGAAGGTATATACAAAGCACCTCACCGCCCAGGGCCAAGCATTTAGTAGACACTCAAAGAATGCTGGTTGTCTGCCTGACTGTTAAATCGCATGACACATATAAATACAACATACTAGTATGTAATAGATTGTTAGTAATCTCATCCTCATTCCTCTCCTTTACCCCATCCCCTTCTTAAAAGCTCAGCATGACCTGGCTCTTCCATCATATCTCACTGCTGTTTACCAAACAAATAGCTATTGCAGGGTGGCAGCTGTCATCAATACCTGGGCCACTGCAGCACAGCCTGCCTTTTTCTTCTTACTTCTTGTGATCAAGTTACTTGTAACATGGGCAGAAAAAAATGGACCCCTAAAGAATGTGAAGGACATCCCTAGCATCTAGCCCTCATTACATGCTCAATAAATATGTGAAGAATCAATGACGGCACTGGAGGGGCCATAAGCTAAGAGGTTAGTAAAGACTGTCACCAGCCCAGCTTCCTCTCTAGTGCCTAGTCAGAGGCCATGCTGGCAGAGTAAGTCACGTAACAGTTACTTGCGATGAGTCGGTGGAGCTAGTCAGTCCTCAACTAAGCAGTGAGGCATGTGTGACACAGCGGAAGAGGCTGTGCCTGGGTGTGTGGGCCAAGTGGACACAATACAACAGCACACGGTAGAAGAATGAAAGGCGAGGCAAGGTCAGTTTGGAATATGAGAAGAATTAAAGAGGTAAGAGCCCCCAGTTATATCTCTGCAGTTATAAGATAAAGAGGAGATAAGGAAGGATCTAAATGTGAAGAAACTTGCTGCACAGCTTTCTCAGCCAAGATTTTTCTGAAAGTTGCAGAATATAACGCTTAATAGAAGGCCTTGCAAAGTGGTAAAGAGGCAAGTACCCTGCTCTTCAGAATAGTATGACAGAGTCTGAGGAGGATGGCGGTGGTAGTGGGGGCAGAGATAATGGACAGAAAGGTTTTACACAGACTGAAGATGACTGCTATAAAATCAAAGTAGCAAGGAAGAAATACTTTTTTACCCTAACATTTCCTATTTGTCTTTCAGTCAAGAAAATTCAACACTAAAAACGAAACAAAACAAAACAAAAATCCTAATTCTCATTTCTTTCATCTCAGATCCCATTTAGTTTATCAGAAAGTCCCAAGGTAGAACCAACAGAGACGGGTCCAGTTGTGAGCCAGTGCCTGATAGGACACCAGTGTTAAATCATCAGACAAAAGCATCACCCACAAAAACCAGCAACACAGAAGTCCACCTGTCCACCCAGTTCCTAACTACCTCAGATGGGAATGAGTTCAGAAAAAATTATTTCTGTCAGTTCCCCGAATGTGGTTTTAAGGAAACAGAATAAAGTAACAATCATAAAATGAACAGCTGGGAGGAGAAAAACCAGCATAAAAAACAACAGCTGAAAAGGTTCACACACACACACAAAGAAGGATCATTTTGTTTCATGTATCAAAATTAAGACACATTTATAAAATATTGATCATAAAATGCTAATAAAAATTAAATGTAACACGTTCAAAGGGACAGATATCAACATTATCTTTAAACTTGTATTCTATGAGGTAATTTCATAAATTTCCAGCACACTGACAAAACTTCCCTATTGATAAGATTATGACTGAAACTTTGAAGTTCTCTTAACCAGTTTTTATGCCTTCTAACCAAGGGTATTCTCTTGGCTTACAGTTTTCTGCTTTAGCTTCTATCTGGGGCATTACATGTTCATACAGGAGAAAACTGATGAGGGTGAGTATGAGTTGAAATAGAAATTGGCACATTTTTAGGTGCTAAGATGCGAAAATTTAAATGTGATCATATTTGATAAAAACTTGTGATCTTTTTCAGATCAACTCATACGATTGAGGTTAGGCTCTCAGAACTTGAAACAAGTATGGCAAAAACATCAGATAATGAAGCAGTGGCTTAATATAGTCTTACATAGTTCAGAGTTTCGTGAAATTTTGGCAAATAAAAAAGTAAAATGGAAACATTCAAATCAATTATCAAAAATTCAGTTTGATAGTTCCTTAAAAAGTGAAGCATAAATTTCCCACATAACTCAACAATTTCACCTTAGAGAAATTAAAATGCATGCACAAAGATTTGTATGTAAGTATTCATAGCAGTATTATCATGACAATAAAAAAATAGTAATAATCCAAATGGCCCTCAACTGATGAGTAGGTAAATAAAAAATGGTATATCCACAAAATATAATACCATTTAGCAAGAAAGAGGAATGAAATATAGATTTATACTATATCATAGAAGAACTTCAAAAACATTATGCTCAGTGAAAAAAGCCAAATGCAAAAGATCACATATGATAAGATTCCAGTTTATTTGGCATGTTGAGAAAAGTAAAATTTAAAGAGACAGAACGCAGATTAATGCTTGCCTGGGGCTGAAGGTGAGAAGGGGGCGTGAGAGCATATGAGCACGAGGACTCTGGGGTGAAGAAATGTTCTAAAACTGGATTACGGCCACAGTTGCAAGACTTGGTCAATATAGCAAATATCACTTCATTGTACACTTAAAATGAGTGAAGTTTATAGTGTGTCAATTATATCTCAATAGAGCTGTTTTAGAAATAGTTCAGTAAGGTGCAAAATGTAACATGCACAAATCTTAAGTGTACGACTCAGTGACTTTTAACATATGTATACACCCATGTAATCAGCACCCAGATCAAGATATAAAACTTTTTAAGCCCTGGCCAGTTTGGCACAGCGGTTAGAGCGTCGGCCTGCGGTCTGGAGAGACCCGGGGTTCGGTTCCCGCTAAGGGCACGTATTCGGTTGCAGTTTGTCCCCGGCCCTGGTTGGTCGTGCGGGTGGCAGCCACTCGATGTGTCCCTTTCACGTCGATATTTCTCTCTCTCTCCCTTCCTCTCTCTCCCTCCCACTCTATCTGTACAAAAAATGGAAAAATATCCTCGGGTGAGGATAAAAAAAAAATTTTTTTTAGCACTCCAGAAAGTTTCCTTTTACCCTTTGTTATCCACAGTTCACCATTTACAGTCTTCATTCATTTTGTCTGTATTGAAACTTCAGTGTTTCTTTTGCTCAACACAATGTCTGAGATTCATCCAAGTTAATGCTGATATCAGTAGTTCATTGTTTTTTATTGCTGTGGAGTAGTCCTTGTATAAATATACCACCATTTGTTTATAAAGTCTTCTGCTAAAGAATATTTAGCGTGGTTCCAGTTTGGGGCTATTATGAATAAAGCTGTTATGAACATTATTTTAGATGTCTGTTGACAGACATATGCACTCATTTCTCTTGGGTACATAGCTAGAAGTAGAAATGCTGATTCAAACAGTAAGCACATGTTTAGCTTGGGTAGAAACTACTATAAAATTTTCCAAAGTGGTTAAAACAAATTTCCACTCCTACTAACAATGTTTCAATGTTTCAGCTGCCCTACCTCCTCACCAACAGTTGGTAGTGTCAATCTTTTTTTATTTTAGCCATTGTGCTAAAATTACATTGTGTGCAGAGGTATCTGGCATGGCTTTAACTTGTATTTCCTTGATTAAGAATGAAATTAAGCACACTGCCCTACACTTACTGACCATTTTGATATCTTCTTTGGTGAAGTACCTGTTTGAGGTTTTTGTCCATTTTTTAATAGATTATCTGTCTTTTTCTCATTGCTTCATAGAAGTTCTTTATTCTGTATATACATCTTTTTTTTTTTATCTTAACCCGATATTTTTTGTTCAGATAGAATGGGAGGGAGAGAAAGAGAGAGAGAGAAACATCGACATGAAAGGGACCCATCAAGTGGCTGCCACCCGCCACAACCTAACCAGGGCCGGGGACAAACTGAAACCAAGATACATGCCCTTAGCGGGAACCAAACCCAGGTCTCTCTGGATCACAGGCTGATGCTCTAACCACTGAGCAAAACCGGCCAGGATTGTATATAAATCTTTTATCAGGTATATTTATTACAAATATTGTTCTCCAATCTGTAATCTGCCTTTCTCTCTCTCTTAATGGTGCCATTGATACACAAAAGTCCATAATATTAATGAAGTCCAATTTATCATTGTTTTCTTTCATAGTTCGAGTTTTTTATGTCCTGTTTAAGAAATCTGTCCCTATACCAAGTTAATAAAGTATTCTCTTATGTTTTCTTCTAGGAGCTTTATTGTACTATCATAGTTGAATCCTTAATAATGGACCAAATTAATTTTGTATATGGAGTCACGGTTCATTTATTTCTCCCTAGAGATACCCATTTTGATGCAGCACTGTTCATTGGTAAGACTATTCCTTCCCTCAAGAGTGCAGTGGCATCGTGTCCATAAGTCAGGTGATTATATTATACATGAGTCTGTTTCTTGACTCTATTATGTCCCATTGTTACACTTACCCTTGGGGAATGCTACTGCCTTAATTACTGAAACGTTATAGTAATCTTGAGCTGGGTAACATTAAAAAATTTTTTTTCTTTATTGATTTTAGAGAGAGAGAAAGGGAGAGGAAGAAAGAGATCGAAACATCAATGAGAGAGAACATCGACTGGCCATCTCCTGCATGCCCCCCACTGGGGATCCGGCCCACAACCTGGGCATGTGTCCTGACCTGGAATTGGCAACCACCTGGTGTATGGGTTGACGCTCAACCACAGAGCCACACTGGCTGGGGGAGCTGGGTAACACTTTAATGCACAATTTTGGGGGAGAACTTTCTGAGCTATTCTTATAAGAGAGACAACTGCCAAAAATTAACTATTTCAAATCTTACATGTCATCATACATCTATTTTGAAGAAGATAAATTCCTTAATCAGTAAAGTGAAAATAGTTTTTACCACATAAGGTTTACAGAATTTACATATCTCTTATGTTAGCTGCAGGAAACTTTTGAACTCCAGAATGAAAATGCCTTACCTGAGTAAGGTAAATGGTATCTTTGAAGAGGCGTAATGGATCTGTGTGTTGCGGGAGTTTGAAATGAAGTTGAGCCTGAGAAAGCATTTCATCGTTACCGCTGACATGATGCTGTCGGTGAACTGCAAATCTACTATTGTAAGACCAGTCCTCTTTAGATGAAACCTTTGAGTAAAGAATAAGAGGTACGAATTGGGAAATTAGGCGTAAAACTATTTTTACACACATTTCTAACAAACTTGAAAAGGAACTCTACACACGGGAGTAATTTCAAAGATGTTTTTGCCATCATACTTGTTCTTGGTAAAAGGTCACCCTGCCACAAAGTTGACTCACAAAACCCAGGTTTGGCACCTATATCCTTTCTTCTTCAAACCTAGAACATTCCAATTTGATATTTCCGTTAAAAGTCTTGTCTTATCAAAATGTTATTCCTTTTATAAACATTAGTTATATGTATTTAATTTAAAAAAATGTTTCTAATCCTCACACAAGGATATATTTTTATTGATTTTAGAGAGAGAAGAAAGGGAGAGAAAGAGAGAGAGGGAGAAACATCAATGTGAGAATGAAACATCGATGGGTTGACTCTGCACCTGCAACCTGGGTATGTGCCCTGACTGGGAATCAAACCCACAACCTTTCAGTGTACAGGACAACGCTCCAACCAACTTAGTCATGCTGGCCAGGGCTAGTTACGTATATTTTTAAATGTCATTTTATCTACTTAAGAAAATAAATTGCAGAACATAAGTTAAATATACAAAAAAATCAGTTATATCTTTATAATACTAGTAATGAACAATCTGAAAATAAAATTAAGAAAATAACGTCATTTACAACAGCACCAAAAAAAGAATAAAATATTTAGGAATTAATTTAACCGAAGAAATATAAGACTTGTACACTAAAAACTACAAAATTAGCCCAGCTAGAGTGGTTTAATTGGTTGAGCATTACCCTGTGCACTAAAAGATTGCTGGTTTGATTCCTGGTCCGTGCACATACCTGGGTTGTGGGTTCAATGCCCAGTTGGAGCACATATCGGAGGTAACTGATCAATGTTTCTCTCTCACACTGATGTCTCCCTCTCCCTTCCTCTCTCTGAGTATGTCCTCAGGTGAGAAATTTAAAAAAAAAACTATAAAATTAAAGAAGATATCACATATTCCTGAATCAGAAGACAATACTGCTATGATGGCAATACTTTGCAAACTGATCTACAGATTCAATACAATCCCTATCAAAATCTCAGTTGGCTTTTCTGAAGAAAATGGCAAAGTGATCCTAAAATTCATATGGAAATGCAAAATACCCAGAACATTTAAAAAGTCCTAAAAGAAGAACAAAGTTGGTGGCCTCATACTTCCTGCTTTCAAAACTTACTGCAAAGCTATAGTAATCATGACAGTGCATATTGACATAATATAGACACACAAGTCAAACAACAAAATCGAAAATCCAAAACTAAAGCTTTTTTTTTTATTAATCCTCACTGGAGGACATTTTTGCATGTATCTTCTGATAGAGTAGGAGGGAGAGAGGGAAGAAGAGAAAGAGAGAAACATCGATGCGAGAAAGACATATAAACTGGCCGCCACCCACACAACCCCAACGGGGGCCGGGAACACACTGCAACTGAGGCACGTGCCCTTAGCAGGAACTGAACCTGGGTCTCTCTGGTCCGGGGGCTGATGCTCTAACTGCTGAGCCAAACCGGCCAGGGCCAAAAATAAATCTTAACATTTGCAGTCAATTAATTTTCAACAAAGGAGTCAAGAGAATTCACTAAGGGAAGGATTAATGTTTTCAATAAATGGTGTTAGGTCAATTGGCTATCCATATGCAAAAGAATGAACCCGGACACCTACCTCACACCACACAGAATAATAGATCACATCTAAATTTAAAAGCTAAAACTAGAAGACAACAGTGGAGTAAATCTCTGTGATCTACGTTATAAAATGGCTTCTTAGACACAATACCAAAAGTACAAAAGATTAAAGATAAGACTGATAAGTAGGATTTCATCAAAATTAAAAATGTTTTGTTTTCAATGATACCATCAAGTAAGTAGAAAGACAGCCCTCAATTGGGAGAAAATATTTGTAAATCATATATGTGATAAAGAACATATCCATAAAGTATATATCTTACAACTCAATAATAAAAAAACAAATAAACCAATTTAAAAATAGGCAAAATATTTTAATATATTTCTCCAAGGAAAAGAAATAAATGAACATCAAGCACATGAAAACATGATCAACATGCTAGCCAAAGAAATGCCAATTTCCTATAAATATAAATGTCCAGGGAAATGCAAAAAAAAAAAGAGGAAATGGGATATAACAAGTATGGCAAGAATGCAGAGAAACTGAAACCCTCAAACATTGTTGATGGAAATGTAAAATGGTGCAACCACTATGGAAAACAGTAGTTCTTTGAACTGTTAAACATACAGTTACCATATGACCCAGCAATTCCACTCCTAGGTATAACCTAATAGATGTTCACATAAAAACAGGTATACAGATGCTCACAGCAGCATTATTCATGAAAGACAAAAAGTGGGAATAGCAAAAATATATAGCAAATGATAAAAACAAATACAATGTGGTAAATCCATACAATGAGTATAATTCAGCAGTACAAAAGAGTGACATACTAATAAATGATACAACATCGGTGAACCTTGAAAAATTTTTGCTGAGTAAAAGAAGCCAGTCTCAAATGATCGCATAGTTTATTATTCCAATTACATGAAATGTGCAGAACAAGCAAATATATAGAAATGCAGAAGAGATTAGTGGTGCCTAGAGCTGGGGTTGGGAGTGACAGAGAGATTGGGGAGTGACAGCTAATGGGTACAGAGCTTCCTGGGGGTATGAAAATGTTCTAAAATTAGATCATGTTGATGACTGCACAACTCTGGGAATATACTGAAAACCATTAAACTGCACACATTAAATGGGTGTCTTATACGGTCAAGTGAATCACATCTCACTAAATTTGTTTTAAAAAGAACACATACAGCCCTGGCCAGTTTGACTCAGCGGTTAGAGCATCGGCCAAAGGACAAGAGAACCCCAGGTTCAGTTCCGGCTAAGGGCATGTACCTCGATTGCAGTTTGTCCCCAGCCCTTTGGGGTCATGTGGTGGCAACAACTGGGTGTGTCTCTCTCACATCGATGTTTCTCTCTCTCTCCCTTCCTCTTTCCTTCTCGTTCTATCTGAAGATAAATGCAAAAAAATGTCCTTGGGTGAGGATAAAAAAAAAAAAAGAACACATATAACTTTAAAACCAAATCCATCTATGAAACCGAATCATCAGGAACAGAGAAAGTGAAAAGCAAACATACCAACATGAAGAAAAAGGAAGGGGAAGAAGAGGTGGAAATGAAAGAGACGAGAAAAGAAATTATATGACGTGAGAACATTAGCCAAAGTCTTATTTATCACATTCATTTCTCTTACTGTGATAAAACTATCCAGTTCTGAATATCTGTAAATGATTTTTTTCAAAGTTGTAGAATATAGCCTGGTTGGTGTGGCTCGGTGGATTGAGCATGTCCCATGGACTGAGAGGTCCCGGTTTGATTCTCGGTCAGGGCTCAATCCCCAGTAGGGGGCGTGCAGGAGGCAGCAGATGGATGTATCTCTCTCACATGGATGTTTCTATCTCTCTCTCCCTTCCTCTCTCTCTAAAAAAATCAATTTAAAAAACATATTAATTAAAGCTGTAGGATATACAGAGAGTGGCAAGTGAGAGTTATTTTCATGTGTAATAAATCAGGTTTAAGCGGACAGTGCCTCTCATTTAATTTTTAAATGCTCCTTAAGGAACATAATTAAAAGCGACATAGAAAAATCATCTCCAAAATGATGACTACAAGAGTTTAGGTCCCCAAAGGTTAAAGGAAAAAAAAAATTATCTTCTATCATCTTCTTCCTAAAAAATAATTTAAAATAAGTAAATTTCATTTGGTTTTCCGAACCACTATTGAGGAGTGACAAAGGCCCGTAGCCCACCACTCTGAATCCCTGAGAAAGCAACAATGGCTTACCTTTTCCAATGTACTGAAGGAAGGCCAGGACTGATATCCATATTCAGATACAAATCGAGCTTTTGGGAAAATGCTCCAATCCCAGCAATCACTGAAATAGTCATAAAAATGTACATCGCCATAATGCTTGTCATATGGGTTTTTAGCGAGCCAGCCTTCTGCAACGGATTCAGCCCCATTCGTAGGACTGGATGTGATAAAAGGACGAGTCTTGTCTTCCTGAGTTCAGAAACAAAATGGTTTAAAGGATAAAATTTTCACCCAGTAAAGTACAGACAACTCCCTTCTTCAGAAATACTATCAAGACCCAGAAATGCCAAATAGCCAATAGAAAACTACGGGAACCATTTACCTTCTTCCACATCGAAACAACCACAGCACCTCTGCTATTCTCTAATCCCTTCTATCCTGTCATAATTAACACTTCCCTTCTTCCTCACAGCAGCTGTTTCTAATCTTTTCAATCATGGCTTGCCTCAAGCTTAACTTCTGCCATGACGGGTAATGTACAATCTAGTGCAGAATATCTCAACCATGGCACTACTGACATTTTGGCCTAATAATTGTGTGTGTATTGGGGGTTGGGAGTATCCTACGCATTCTAGGATGTTTAGTAGTATTCCTGGCTTCAACCCACTAGATGCCAGTAGTATCTACCCTCTCCACCAAAATATCAACAGACATTGCCAAATGTCCCCTTGTCCCTTGGAAACAAAATCACCTCTACCGAAGAATCACTGGTCTAGTGATTAAGAACATAGGCTATTCCACATATAATGAGATCATGTGATACTTGTCTTTTGCTGACTGGCTTAGTTCACTTAGCATAATACTCTCCAGGTCCCTCTATGTTGTCTTAAAGGTAAGAGATCTTTTTTTCTTATAGCTGCATAGTGTTCCATTGTGTACATGTACCACAGCTTTTTTATCCACTCATCTACAGATGGGCACTTGGGCTGTTTCCAGATCTTAGCTATTGTAAATAGCACTGCTATGAACACAGGGGTGCATACATCCTATCTGATTGGTGTTTCAGGAATCTAATGAACAAAATAAATTGACAAAATAGATCCAGAGACATGGAAGCAGGGAACAGACTGATGGACCTCGGAAGGAAGGGGGTTGGGGAGTGGAAAGAGGTAAAGCGAAGAACTTCTATGCATATATGCACAATCGATGGACACAGACAGTAGTGCAGTGAAGGCATGGGGGGGGGGGCAGGAGCGAGGTGGAGGAGGTCAATGGGGGAAAAAGAGGAGAACATCTGTAATACTTACGACAATAATTTAAAAAACAAAACAAAAAACAAGAGAGGTTATTGAGTCAGATGGACCTAAGTTTAAATCCCAAGTCAGAACCTTACTGTTTTTGGACAGGTGTAAGCCTCAGTAGCCTTATCTGTACAATGGGGATGACAGTAACTCCTTCACAGGGCTATTGTGAGCGGTAAGGAACTTATCTGTGGAAGAGGTGGCTCGGTGTCCACCAAAATTCATGTTCCCATTTCTGTAATATATAGTGATGTGCCTAGGAAGAGGCTTCCTCACCTCTTTGCATCTCTCTGGGGCTCGGTGCCTTATCCTCATCCTCTTCCCCCCATGTGCAGGGCCTAGGAGGTGCAGGACTAGGAGATGGAAAGTCTATGTCTCTGAAAGGAGGAGAGCTGCCTGTCCATCAGGAGCAGCCCAGCTGCAGAATTAGTGAGTAAGAAACTTTTGTTATGTAAACCACTGCAGCTCTGCTTTATTTGCCTGAGCAGCGAGCATATGCATACTTAGTGGAGGGCCCAGCACACAGGCAGAACTCAACATGTGTTAGTTATTATCATCTCAGCAGATGAACTCACTTCATCTGCTCACTGAGAAGAATCATTCACTGAGGATGTGTCAAGCACTGACTGTGTGTCAGGCACTTCGCAGCTCTGCAAAAATAGAGAGAAAACCTGTGACATTGCCCAGTATTAATACATCAAATCTCTGGAGTGCTGGCTATGTGCCAGGCATGCAGTTCTTTCTATGTATGGGAGGTTCAGCAGGGAACAGGACAGACATCTGGCTGACCTCTTAAAAGAGTAGACAAATCTGGTGGTGAAACCAGATGCTGAACAAGTGTGGTAAGAGTGATGATGTTCTAGAGGAAAAGCACAGGGCTCTTTGGAAATATAAAACATATTCTAGAAGGCCACTGAGGCCCCTCTGAGAAACAGATGATCAGATAACAGTTTTCTCTGTTAGGTTTTGCTTTTTTTGGAATATCCATCCATTTTTCTCTTGTTTCTCTTCAGTCAGAAAACAAAACAACAACAAAAAAACACCTTGCTCCTTTTCTTCGCCAGCCTCTCTGTCTTCTGGTCATCTTTTTATTTTACTCTGTAAGTAAGCCAATAACTTATCATCCACTCTTTAAAAACATCTCTCTACAGCCCTGTTCCCTGGGCCTGTGGACTCCTCTCATCCGAAAAAGAACTGCCTTTGTCCTCTGCAGTCCAGCAGATTCCTTTACCACCCACTCACTTGTCAGCCCCTGACATTAAGTTCCTGATCATTCCACTTGACTGAGATTGTTTTGGGTTTTTGTTTGTTTTTTCAGAAACTACCCAGGAACTTCTACTTACCAAATAAAGGAAAAATCCCACACCCTTCTCTCTCCACTGTGCAATGAATGACCTATTTACCACCCATTATTTCTGAAGTTCTCTCCATCCTGGGGGCTCATTCACTACTCTTGCATTCTGGTTTCCCCAGACCTTTCTGATTCTTCCCTCCCCAGCTCCCCTCTCCTTCTCAGCTGGACAGAGCTCGCTTGTCAGCCTCTCCTCTCTGTACCCTCTCCCAAGTCGCCCCTCTCACCAGTGTTCAGATTACTCCCCAACTACTTCAACCCCCACACTCTACTCCCAATAACCATCTCCACACTTCCACCTGGCTTGTCTTGCCAACATCTCAAATCCAACCTTTCAAAGCAGAGTTCCTTATTTATTATTCACAAACTAATTTTTTAAAAATATGCTGTTATTGATCTTTTAGAGAGAGAGAGGAAAGGAGAAAGAGATAGAAACATCGATGTGAGAGAGAAGCATCGATCGGCCGCCTCCTGCGCCCCCTACTGGGGATCGAGCCAGCAACCTGGGCACGTGCCCTGACTGGGAATTGAACCAGGACCTCTCAGTCCATGGGACGACGCTCAATCCACTGAGCCACACCGGCTGGGCTCACAAACTAATTTAACTGTGATTCCTATCTTCATTAAGGGTACCCAAGTAAGAGTCATCTTCTATTTCTCCCTCTCTCTCTTTTACCTCCCACATTGTCTCTCTGAACTCAAATTCTTTTCCATCACCTCATTTCCAGCCCCACTCCATTGGACTCCACTGCCTGTAACCAATGTGACCTTGAACAATTAATTTTTGTAACCCTCCAATGCCTTCATCTCTAAAATAAAGATATTACTTACATTCCAGAGTAGTTTTAAAATCAAATAAATTCTATGAAGCACTTATAGCATTACTATATAATATTAATTAATATAATAATCATAATTAATATACCAATGTCTGACATCTACTGTTCTCAATAACTTGGAATTCCTGGTTTTTACAACTGGTTTCCTCACCTAGAATCTCTCACCTCCCTAATTCTCTGCTAGTAAAGGTAACTTCCAGAATGAGTCAGATAAAGTTCCTCCACACCCCAAAATTTGCACTGGCTTCCTACTGTCTACTGAATAAAGCCCAACTCCATAACATTCAAAGTCCTTTGAAGATTTGTTTCCAAGTTGCCTCTTCTTTTTCTTTTTTTTTTGGTTAATCCTCACCTGAGAATACTTTTTCCATTGATTTTTTTTTTTTTTAATCCTCACCCGAGGACATTTTTTGTTCAGACAGAGTGGCAGGGAGAGAGAGGAAGAGAGAGAGAAACATCGACGTGAAAGGGACACATCGAGTGGCTGCCACCCGCATGACCCAACCAGGGCCAGGGACAAACTGCAACCGAGGTACGTGCCCTTAGCGGGAACCGAACCCGGATCTCTCTGGATGGCAGGCCAACGCTCTTACTGCTGAGCCAAACCGGCCAGGGTTCCATTGATTTTTAAAGAGAGTGGAAGGGAAAAGGGCAGGGGGAGAGAGAGAGAGAGAAACATCGATATGACAGAGACACATCGATCGGTTACCTCCTGCATACACCACAGCCAGGGGTCGAACTTGCAAGCCAGGTACATGCCCTTGACCGAGAATCAAACTCACAGCCCTCCAGTGCTTGGGCAGACATTCTAACCACTGAGCCACACTGGCCAAGCTAAGTTGCCTTTTCTATCTTTGACTTTCCAACATCAAATCAGGAGTCCTTTACTTCAAGCACTGGGCACTCCTTGCTGTTTCCTACATCCTTTCTCAACTTTTTACCTTTTTCACATTGTTTTTATGACCTAAAACACCTACCGAATAATCCTTTGCCTCAAATCCTACTCCACGTTGAAGGCTTGATTTGAATGTCACCTTTTATTGAAAAGGCTTCCTAGATCCTTCCATTAAAAAATAACGGTTCTGCCCTGGCCTGTTTGGCTCAGCGGTGAAGCGCTGGCCCACGACCCTCTGAGCTGCAGGTTTGACTCCAGTCAAAGGCACGCACCTCGGTTGCGGTTCGTCTCCAGCCTGGATCGGGGTCGTGCAGGAGGCAGCTAGTCGATGTGTCCCTCTCCCGTCAATGTTTCTGTCTCTCTCCCTTTCTCTCTCTCTCACACTCTATCTGAACATAAAAAGAAAAATATCCTTGGGTGAGGATTAAAACAAAAAAAAGTAAAAATAATGGTTCTTCCACATAGTTCTCACCACTCTGGAAATACATGCGTTTTTCACGGCACTTCTCTCCGCCTGAACTCCTTCCCGCGTTTCCCGAGAGCAGCATAAGCCCCAGGAGGAAGACACTTCCCACAGCGTGGGGACTGAGGGTGTGCCTTTCACAGGTACTCAGCAGATGTTGGTTGAATTTAAAACATTAAAACATGGTAAGAATATGGGTACTCTTAAATTTTAAACAAGAGTCTGTTATAATGACTTTAAAATAAAATTGGAGAAGGTCGATCAACTGGCCTTAATCAATCAAGCTTGGTTGATTTTCCTCCATTCCTCCAGATTCTTGAACAATTTGGTAAGATAATCCAGTCAGTAAGATTACTAATGAGCCTCTCCCTAAAAACACCCGCCCCTGATGATGCGCGCT